GGTCAATCTTTAGCTTTCTAAGGACCCTCCAGACTGCTTTCCAAAGTGGTTGTATAAGTGTACATTCCCACCAGCAGTGTAATAGGGTTCCTCTTTCTCCGCATCCCCTCCAGCATTTGTCGTTGGCTGATTTATGGATGTGGGACATTCTGACTGGGGTAAGGTGGTATCTCAGGGTTGTCTTTATTTGCATTTCCTTCACCACCAGGGATGATGAACATTTCCTCATGTGTTTCTTCATTTGAGAAGTCCCTCTTTAGTTCCCTTGCCCATTTAGTAATTGGTTTGTTAGGTTTGGGAGGGATTAGTATCTTGATCCAACTATTTCTTATCCCTAGCCAGCAGTCATTTTCTTTTCCTAAGCAGTGGTGGTGGGGATGGGAGTGCGCCAGACGCACAGGGACTGTGGAATAAGAACTACACAGACCCCCTTTTTTTTTTTTTTTTTTTCTGATCCTGGGGCTTGAACTCAGGGTCTGGGCATTGTCCCTGAGCTTTTTTACTCAAGGCTAGCTTTGAGCTACTGCTCTGAGCCACCGTGCCACTTCTGGTTTTCTGGGGGTTAATTGGAGAAAAGGGTCTCACAGACTTTCCTGCCCAGGATGGCTCTGAACTATGAAATTCAGATCTCAGCCTCCTGAGTAGCTAGGATTATAAGCGTGATAAGCAACCAGCACTGGGTCCATTTTTTTATTTATATTTTTTGGTGATACTTTGAAATCAGGGCTTTGTGTTTGCTGGGCAGGTAATCTACCAGTTGAGCCACAGCTCCTCTTCTCGGGTTTTGCTGTTAATTGGAGATACAAGTCTCCAGAACTTTTCTGCCTGGGTTGGCTTCAAACTATGATCCTCAGGTCTCAGCCTTCTGGGTAGCTAGGCCACCAGTGCCTGGCCTTTTTTTTTTTTTTTTTTTTTTTTTGGGTCCGGTTGTGGGGCTTGAACTCTGGACTTAGGTACTGTCCCTGAGCTCTTCAGCTCAAGGCGAGCGCTCTACCGCTTGAGCCACAGCGCCATTTCCAGTTTCCTAGTGGTTTATTGGAGATAAGTCTTTGAACTGCGATCCTCAGATCTCAGACTCTTGAGTAGGTAGGATTACAGGTGTGAGCCACCGGGGCCCAGCATGCCTGGTCTTTATTGATTAATGTATTTTTTAATTAAGTTTTTTATTGTGAAAATACTGTACTGAGGGGTTACAGTTACATGAGCAAGGTAATGAGTACATTTCTTATCCAGCATTGTTGCCTCCTCTTTGCTTTTCCCCTACCGTGCCTTCCCTCCCACTTTCTCAGTTACCCCCCCCCCATGATTAATGTATTGATGGAAACTGGGTCATATTCTATAGCGTAGGCTGGCCTTGAGTTCTCAATCCTCTTGTGTGAGCCTCTTGAATTTCTACCATTATGTGCAGCATTTGGCCCTTCTTGTGTTTGGCAACAGAATACTCACAGTCTTACCAGGTGTATGGCCCAGGCTGGCCTGGGATTCACTAGGTCACCCTGGTACTTTCTGGCCACTTTTGACTGGTGACCTCAATCCTCAGTCTCCTCCCTTATAAACAGGGGAGCAACAACATCCCTTTGAAGGGTACAGTACAGCAGAGGTGCCCTGGCCACTTCTTAGGTGTGAGTTTGCCAGTCCTGGGGCTTAAACTCAGGGCCTAGGCACTGTTCCTGAGTTTCTTTTCTTTTTTTTTTTTGGGTCCGGTCGTGGGGCCCGAACTCTGGGCCTGGGCGCTGTCCCTCAGCTCTTCAGCTCAAGGCTAGTGTTCTACCAGTTGAGCCACAGCACCACTTCTGGCTTTTTTCTTACGTAGTGCTGGGGAATTGAACCCAGGGCCTTAGGCATGCAAGGCAAGCGCTCTACCACTGAGCCACCTTCCCAGCCCCTCCTGAGTTTCTTTTGCTCAAAGATAACACTGTACCACTTGAGCTACAGCACTACTTTTTCTGTGTATGTGGTACTGAGGAGTCAAACCCAGGGCTTCATGCATGCTACACAAGCACTCTACCACTAAGCCATGTTCCCAGCCCCACCCTTACTTTTTTGGTATGCCCTGGGGCTTGAACTCATCCTGGATACTGTCCTTAAGCTTTTTTTGCCTAAGACTAGTGCTCTACAACTTGAGCCACTTCTGCTTTTTTTTTTTTTTTTTTGTAGTTAATTGGAGTTAAGAGTTTCATGGACTTCCTGCCTGGGCTGGTTTTGAACTGATTCTCAAATCAGCCTCCTGAGTAGCAAAGATTACAGGTGTAAGCCATGGATGCCTGGCACACTTAGTTCTTTTTTTTTTTTTTGCTGGTTGTGCGGCCTGAACTCTGGGCCTGGGCGCTGTCCCTCAGCTCTTCAGCTCAAGGCTAGCCCTCTACCACTTGATCCACACTGCCACTTCCAGCTTCTTCTGCTTATGTGGCGCTGAGGAATCGGACCCAAGGCCTCATGCATTCAAGACAACACTCTACCACTAAGCCACATCCCCAGCCCCACCCTTAGTTCTTTGAGCCTCAGTTTCTTCATGTGGGTTATGAGCTTCTGTAGAGGTGATGCTGATAAAGGGTCTGGTTCCTCTAGGAGTATTCTTCTGGTAGAGATGAAATAGTGGACAGCTAGATGCAAGTGGTTCACACCTTTAATTCTAACTATTCAGGAGGCTGAGATCCTAAAGGTCAAAGTTGGATGCCAGTCTAGACAGAAGAGTCTTCTAGGCTCTGTCTCCAATTAACAGAAAAAAGCTGAGCTGGAGGCCTGTCTCAAGTGGTAAGAGCACCAGCTGTGAATAGAAAAAGCCAAGTGAGAGTTTAAGGTTCTAAAGTGAATACCCAGTACCAGCAAAAACAAACCCCAAAACATATGGTTGCTGATAGGCTCTTAGTGTTGTGCCAGGCACTGTGTTGGCAACTGTTTTGGGGGGATCTTGGGACTTGAACTCAGGGCCTGGGCACTGTCCCTGAGCTCTTTTTGCTCAAGGCTAGTGCTCAACCACTTTGAGCCATAGCTCCACTTCCAGTTTTCTGGTGATTAACTGGAGATAAGAGTCTGATGGGCTTTCCTGCCCCGGCTGGCTTCAGACTGCAATCCTGAGTAGCTAGGATTACAGGCTTGAGCTACCAACACCAAACTACTTTTTTTTGTACCATCATGGGGCTTGAACCCTGGACCTCATATTTTCCCTTTACTTTGTCCACTCAAGGCTGGCACTCTACTACTGGAGCCACACCTTTACTTTGAGCTTTTTTCTGGTTAATTGGACCATTTGTCTTTTTTTTGTTGTTGTTGTTGGTTGTGGGGCTTGAACTCTGGGCCTGGGCGCTGTCCCTCAGCTCTTCAGCTCAAGGCGAGCGCTCTACCACTTGAGCTACAGCGCCACTTCCGGTTGTCTGGTGGTTTATTGGAGATAGGAGTCTCACGGTCTCTCCTGCCTGGGCTGGCTTTGAACCGCGATCCTCAGATCTCAGCCTCCTGAGTAGCTAGGATTACAGGCGTGAGCCACCAGCGCCCGGCATTGGACCATTTGTCTTTGTCCTCACATCTCAGCCTCCTCAGTGGCTAGGGTTACGGCATGACCAACCAGCATCTGGCTTTTTTTTGTTTGTTTGTTTTGAGAGAGGGACTAAAAATGTATCCCAAGCTGACCTCAATTTTTTTTTTTTGTCAGTTGTGGGGCCTGAACTCTGGGCCTGGGCGCTGTCCCTCAGTTCTTCAGCTCAAGATGAACACTGTACCGCTTGAGCCACAGCGCCACTTCTGATTTTCTGGTGGTTAATTGGAGATAAGTCTCATGGCCTTTCCTGCCCAGGCTGGCTTTGAACCATGAACCTCAGATCTCAGCCTCCTGAGTAGCTAGGATTATAGACATGAACCACCAGTTCCTGTCCCAAATATAGGATATCACATTCACCCCCCTCTCCTTCTCCTTTCATTGTTCCGGCTCATGTGCATTTTCTGGCTGAAGCCTCAGAGGTGGAAGAATTACCGTGAAGAAGAGCACTTGCCCAAGGTCACAAGGAGGCTAAGGAGGAGAGCTAGCCTTTGAACCCAGGTAGTTAGGCTCTGGGTCTTCACTCCTACTTCTTCCGGCTGGGTTGGACCTCTGTCTTTTTCTCTCCTCAGATCAAAGAGCCATCCGAAAAGCAAAAGTTTTTCCAAGAGCTGAGCAAAAGCCTGGACTCCTTCCCTGAGGATTTCTGCCGGCACAAGGTGCTGCCCCAGCTGCTGACTGCCTTTGAATTTGGCAGTGCTGGGGCCGTGGTCCTCACGCCCCTCTTCAAGGTCAGTGGGGTCAGGGACCCCTGTGAGAGAGACCTGAAAGGCCTGGAGTCTCAGCAACTGGGGACCAGAGAGCTGGTGCAGCATCTGGGATACCAAAGAGAGGGATGTAGGTGGGGACAGCCCTGCCCGCGGGTGAACTGCCCAAGCCCTGACAGGACAAGCTAACGCTCACCTAGGAGGAGCTTCCTGCTGCTTTCCTGGTGGCTTAGGGCCACCTAATCAGCTCTGTGGCTCTTGCACTTGGAGACAGTAGCTAAGATGACAGGTGTCAGCCACTGGCACCCAGCCTACCCTTCCTCTTGACCACTCAGCTGTTGACTTCTGGGGCTGGATTCTCCCTGCTTCCTTAGTCCTGGCCACCCTTACTCAGGCACCTGCCCTTCCCATCCTGCGCATTCCAGGGGACTCTTTTTCCTTGAAGGGACTCAAGGGGAGGGACAGCCATTCAATCCTGTTTAGTTGGATCCCCAGAAACCTGAGGCACAATTCTGTGCGCATGTTATACAGGTGCCTGTATTTATTGGGACGGTCACAGAGCTTTCAGCAGCCTCCGAGAGGCCCAGAAAGGTTAAGGCCCAGTGTGGGCACAGGAGGCTGCAGAGGAAACACTACCACTTCCTCACCCTGGGAAGCCTCTTGCTGCCATGGATGTGGTTGAGCCCCTTCCTGCTCCTCCCTCAGGTGGGCAAGTTCCTCAGTGCCGAGGAGTATCAGCAGAAGATCATCCCGGTGGTGGTCAAGATGTTTTCATCCACCGACCGCGCCATGCGCATCCGCCTCCTCCAACAGGTGAGAGCCTTGGCTGGGCCCTTCCCTGGCTATGGCGGATGCGCCTGCCTCACCTCCAGCTCTAGGCAGGTGACGAGAGCCCCCGCCTTGCCTACACTGAGACCCTTTGTCCTGAACTCTGCAGAGGGAAGGATCAGGCCAGACTCTCAGAGGTGGAGCCTGTGACAGAGCGCATTGCCCAGGCTTTAGGGCTCAGAGTCCCCAGTTTTTGGCTCTGTCCCTGTGACCCTCTAGACTAGGATGCATCTCTTCTGTGGGGAGCATCAGATTCTTGGGTCTAGAGAGTCAGGGGGCCCTTGTGAGACAGAAGAGACAGGTACCAATCCCAGTACCAATCCCTGTCCGACTACCAAACCCACGAGCCCTCCTAAGGCCAAACACATGGACCAGATAGCTGCCCTGGCCAGCCAGCATCTGCATAATAGGAAAGCGAAAGCCAGGGTGGCCCAGTGTTGGGGGGTACTGGGGGGGGAAAGCAGGGAGCAGGGTGGGGCGTGGGCGGGGGCGGGGGGAGAGGATTAGATATGTATGTTCTCATACCCTGCCCTTGGTCACAGATGGAGCAGTTTATCCAATACCTTGATGAGCCAACCGTCAACACCCAGGTCTTTCCGCATGTGGTGCATGGCTTCCTGGACACCAATCCTGCCATCCGGGAGCAGACGGTCAAGGTGGGTGTGGCCAGGCTAGGAGTGACCATGCTGGTTTTCTAGGGTGTGGAGAGGGCTCTCCAGGACATAGACTTTGGGTTCAGCCTGTGGGTCTGACGCTGTGGGAGGGGCTGTGTGTGTGTGCATGTGTGCTGGTCCAGGCCGTGTCCCACCTGTAGCCAGCAGTGTTGCAGTGGGGCGTGGCCTCTGGGCTTTGAGCATTGTTCACCAAGCACCTCTCTGCTCTGCCTGTGGCTAATGCTGGGACACAAGGACACAAGGCAGCCTAAGACCCCTGTCCTCAAGCAGCACAGAGAGTGGGCCTGGCAGTTGAGAAACAGAGTTAAGAAATGCATATTGTTAGAGAATGAGAGGCTGGTGGAGAATGGGGGGTAGAGCACTCACCTTGAGCTGAAGAGCTGAGGGACAGCGACCAAGCCCAGAGTTCAGGCCCTACAAACAACCAAAAAAAAAAAAAATAGGGCTGGGAAGTGGCCCAGTGGTAGAGCACTTGCCTTGCATGCATGAGGCTCTGGGTTCGATTCCCCAGCACCACATAAGCAAGAAGAACAAAAGCTGGAAGTGGCGCTGTGGCTCAAGTGGTAAAGTGCTAGCCTCGAGCTGAAGAGCTGAGGGACAGCACCCAGGCCCAGAGTTCAGGCCCCACGACTGGACCCCCCCCCAAAAAAAAATGTGGGGCCATGTGCCAGTGACACACAGCCATAATCCCAGCTACTGAGGCAGAGATCTGAGGATCACAGTTCAAAGCCAGCCTGAGCAAGAAAGTCGATGAGACTTTTGTTGTTGTTGGTTGTGAGGCTTGAACTCTGGGCCTGGGCGCTGTCCCTGCACTTTTCAGCTCAAGGTGACCGTTCTACCTCTTGAGCCACAGCACCACTTCCAGTTTTCTGGTGGCTAATTTGAGATCAGAGTCTCATGGACCTTTCTGATCCTCAGATCTCAGCCTCCTGAATAGCTAGGATTACAGGTGTGAGCCCGGCACCCAGCTTCTAGGAAACTCTTTTTTTTTTGGTTCCGGTTGTGGGGCCTGAACTCTGGGCCTGGGCACTGTCCCTCAGCTCTTCAGCTCAAGGCTAGCACTCTACCACTTGAGCCACAGCACCACTTCCGGCTTTTTTCTTTTTTTGCTTATGTGGTGCTGAGGAATCGAACCCAGGGCCTCATGCATGCAAGGCAAGCGCTCTACCACTGAGCCACCTTCCCAGCCCCTCTAGGAGACTCTTATCTCCAATTAACCACCAGAAAACTGGAAGTGGCACTGTGGTTCAAGTGGTAGAGTGCTAGCCTTGAGCTAAAGAGCGCAGGGACAGTGTGCCCAGGCCCAGAGTTCAAGCCCCATGACAAATGCTCAAAGGTTCCGAACATTGTTACCTTTTTCTAAGAGGACTGAGGTGCAGAGTTCCAGAAAGGTTGAGCCCAAGCTCAACCAAGCTCTGCTTGACAGCCAGGTAGAAATGTCTAGCTGGCCGTGGGTTGTGCATGTGTGGAATTTAGGGAAGAAATCTGGGCTAGGAATGAATGTTGGAGCTGTGTTCATTTTCTGTTGCTGGAACAAAATGGAGGCAAGATATGCTTTGGTCTCAGGCATGACCACTTGGTTCCATTGCTTCTGGGCCTCTGGTGAGGCACCGGGAGAGTGGGGAGCAGAGCGGCTCACCTCTTGGTTGGTGAGAAGCAGAAAGTAGGGCTAGGGCCTGGGACAAGATACGGCTCCCAAGTGCACCAAGTTACCCCGCCCCCCACCCCAAGTACTCACACCTCCCATAACCTGTGGAATTATGAGCCCAAGAATGGATTAACCCATTGATGAGGTCCGATTTTTTTTTTTTTTCTGGACGTGGGGCCCGAACTCTGGGCCTGGGCGCTGTCCCTCAGCTCTTCAGCTCAAGGCTAGAGCTCCACCACTTGAGCCACAGTGCCACTTCTGGCTTTTTCTGCTTATGTGGTGCTGAGGGATCGAATCCAGGGCCTCATGCATACAAGGCAAGCACTCTACCACTGAGCCACCTTCCCAGCTCTGATTTTTATTTTTATTTTGCCAGTCCTAGGGCTTGATCTCAGGGCCTGGGCGCTGTCTCTGCGCTCTTCAGCTCAAAGCGAGCACTCTACCACTTGAGCCACAGTGCCACTTCCGGTTTTCTAGTGGTTTATTGGACGGAAGTGGCACTGTAGCTCAAGTGGTAGAGCGCTCGCCTTGACCTGAAGAGCTGAGGGACAGCGCCCAGGCCCAGAGTTCAAGCCCCACGACCGAAAAAAAAAAAAAAAAAAAAAAGAATCTCATGGACTTTCCTGCCCGGGCTGGCTTTGAACCGAGATCCTCAGATCTCAGCCTGAGTAGCTAGGATTACAGGCGTGAGCCACTGGCGCCCGGCTATCCCTGACTTCTTTTGCTCCAGGCTAGTGCTCTGCCATTTGAGCCATAGTACCACTTCCTTTTTTTTCTTTTTGCTTAAGGCTGGCACTCTGTCACTGCCACTTGAGACATGCCTCCCCTGGTAGCTTTTTGCTGGTTGATAGGAGGTAAGAGTCTTTGGGATTTATCTGCCTGGGATGGCTCCTGAGATCCTCAGATCTCAGCCTTTTGAGAAATTAGGATTACAGACATGAGCTACAAGCAACCAATTGTTATGATTTAATAATTTTCCCAAACCACTATCTCTCAGCATGGCTGCATTGGGGACCAAGCCTTCACTTGAGCCTTTGGGGGACATTCCAGATTGAAAGCATGTCAGGAGCATGTAAAACCATGAAATAGGTGCTGTCACTCAGGGCACTATTGTTAAATATTATAGGTGCTCAGCACAGAGTGTGGGCACAGTGGCTCATGACTATAATTCTAGCTACTTGGGAGGCTTGCAGTTTGAGACCATCTTGGGGGAAAAGTTCCTGAGGCCCCATTTCAACAATAAGCTAAGTGTAGTGGTGTGCACCTGTCATCCCTTGTACAGTAGAAACATAAATAAGAGAATGGCAGTCCAGGCTTGCCTGGGCTTAAAAAGCAAGACTATCTGAAAAATAACCAAAGCAAAAATGGCTGGAGGCTTGGCTCAGGTAGTAGAGTGCCTGTCCAGCAAGCACAAGGCCCTGAGTTCAAACCCCAGTACCAACAAAAAATAACAACTAAGAAATGAAAGAAGTCAAGCTGGGTGCTATTGGCTTATGCCTATAATTCTAGCAACTTAGGAGGCTGAGATCTGAGGATTGTGGTTGGAAGTCAGCCAGGTGAAAAAAAAATTCTGGGTCTCTTATTTCCAAGTAACCAGCAAAGGTGTTCTAGACTAGAAGCAGAGCTCAAGTGGTAAATTGACAATTGTGAGTGGGGAAAACAACAACAACAAAAACTCAGCTGTCTAAGATCTCAGCAAAATGGGTGGCCAATGAGGTCAGAGGACCATGAACCGCTGTGCACTGGAAGAGCAGAAGCAAAAGTGCTAAGGCGGAGAGAGAATGAGGGGTAGTCACAGTTGCAGAAGGGTCAAGCGTGCTGAAGACAGAGAATTGGCCATTAAGTGTAGCAATAAAGAGGTCAACAGTGACCTCTGCCTGGGCCTTGTTGGGTAGACAGCAGAGAGGAGAAATCCAGCCAGCAGTGTGATCATGCCTCTGAGACCTTACTGTAAATGGGGGGCAGAGAAGTGGAGGATCCCCTTCCCCAACTTGCCGAACGAGGTAGGTCACAGCCTGGTAGGTGTGGCGGGGCTGTGGCAGGGCTGCCAGTGGCCTCCCCCTCCCAGGCATCCCTTCTTGCCGCGTCTGCAGTACTCACTGTCCTCTTCCCTCCGCAGTCCATGCTGCTTTTGGCCCCAAAGCTTAACGAGACCAACCTCAACGTGGAGCTGATGAAGCACTTTGCCCGGCTGCAGGCCAAGGATGATCAGGGCCCCATCCGCTGCAACACAACCGTCTGCCTGGGCAAAATTGGCTCTTACCTCAGCGCCAGCGTGAGTGTCCTGAGTTGCTGCCACAGGACCGAGGCTTCCTCTGGGGCCAGGAATCCTGTGTGTGGAGGCTCTCCTCCTGGTCTCCCAGGCCTGGCACAGGTCTGAGCTCTTGGACACGGTGGGCTGCACCCGTAACAGGTGGATCTGCAGTCTGAGCCCAGATTTGCTTGACCCCAAGACTGTTTCCCCTGTTTGTAAACTGGGCTTATACCAGGCCCAGGAGATCTATAGGCCTGGCCCCAGGTAGCTGCTGCTCAAGCCCTGAGGTCCTGAGACAGCTTGAACAGAGAGCCCAGTAGTCTGGGAGAAGCCCAGATCCAGGGGTTTGAGTAAATTCTCATTTACACACAAGTGGTGTAAATTTGCAATGTTAGACTTAGGGGGTCCCGTGACGGTCCATTCAAGGACATTCGATCAGGAGGTTCTGGGTATAATGTTGACCCTGTGCTTAGTTCTCTTCCTTTTCTCCCCTCCTTGTCCCAGACTAGACACAGAGTCCTCACCTCTGCCTTCAGCCGGGCCACTAAGGACCCCTTTCCACCGTCCCGGGTTGCAGGGGTCCTGGGCTTTGCTGCCACCCACAACCTCTACTCAATGAGTGACTGTGCCCACAAGATCCTGCCTGTGCTCTGTGGCCTCACTGTGGATCCTGAAAAATCTGTGCGGGACCAGGTGAGGCTGGGCCCTGGGCTGAGGCTCTAGGGTCTGTCCAGACCCTTGTCGGCCTGGGGTTCTCAGGAACCTTGGAGGCTGGGGATGTGGCTTAGTGGTAGAGTGCTTGCCTAGCATGCATGAAGTCCCACATACACAGAAAAAGCCAGAAGTGGCGCTGTGGCTCAAGTGGTAGAGTGCTAGCCTTGAGCAAGGAAAAGCTCAGGGACAGTGCCCAGGCCCTAAGTTCAGTTCCTTGCTACCCCACAGGCCTTCAAGGCCATTCGAAGCTTTCTGTCCAAACTGGAGTCCGTGTCGGAAGACCCCACTCAGCTGGCAGAAGTGGGTGAGTGCCCCAGGCTGGTGTTCCCTCTCCCCACTGCCACATGCTTGACTGTCACCTGCTGTGTCTCACCTGCACTGCGGTGACTGAAAGCCAGAAACATGTCAGTGAGCTGGGAGGGCTGTGGGGAGCTCCGGCAGAGGGGGCTGGCGGAGGTCATGCTTTCACGTCCCCCACAGGGCCTGTGGTGCCCATACCTGCTCTGTCTCCCACACTGTTCAGAGAAGGATGTCCACGCAGCCTCCAGCCCTGGGGTGGGAGGAGCTGCCGCCAGCTGGGCAGGCTGGGCTGTGACAGGGATGTCCTCACTCACCTCCAAGCTGATCCGCGCACACCCCACCGCCACGCCGGCTGAGACCAACGCTCCCCAGCGATCACCCCCTGAGGGTAAGCGTTCTAGCCCGGCCACATCAGTGGCTGAGAGGGTTGGGAGGTGCTGGCCCCCAGAGTTGCTACTGTCAGGCTGGGGTAGTGACAGGGGTGTAGGGGATGGAGTGGGGTCTAGTCCCCCTGTGGGCTTTCCCCTCAGCACCCTCTACCCTGTCCCAAGCTCTCCCTGACAGCTCAGGGACCTCTTCCAGGACACCCTGCCCCGGCCCCCACCTCGGTCCCTGCTACACCCACAAGCTCGAGTCACTGGGAGACACAGGAGGAGGATAAGGACACAGCAGAGGACAGCAGCCCTGCTGACCGATGGGATGAGGAAGACTGGGGTAGCTTGGAGGTGAGTGGGCTTCAACTCCCCAGCGGGCACAGGTCTAAAATCCTAGGCTGCATCCAGGGCGCATATTAGAGTCTGACCTGCCCTCATCAGCCCGGACCACATCCTTAGCAGGTAGGCCTCATGGAATTGGCCGCTGGAAGCCAGAGTGAGCAACTGAGTCACCCCTTAGCTCCAAGGGCCACCGGGAGGAAGCAGGGAAGGAAATGGTTGGGGAGCCTGTGAACTGCTTACCTGCCCCTCCATCACCTGTTTCAGTGTCCACCCAGTCCCAGGCTTAGGCCTCCCAGGAGAGGCCACCCCCAGGTCTACACCGAGACCAAGCCTACTGGGAATTTCCTGTGCACCCCAGAGATTGGAGGGTGGGCCATGGAGCATCTTGACCTCATCCCTGTCCTCAAAGAGGGGTGACAGCAGATTGGGGGTCAGCTTGCCAACTTCACAGGGAAAGCAAATGTCCAAAAGGGTGGAGCCCCTAGTCAGGAAGGCACTGGGATGAACTTAGTTGTCCTTTTGAGAGTTGGTGGTTTCACTGGTCATGTCTCCCCTTCCCTCACCACAGCAGGAAGCTGAGTCTGTATTGGCCCAACCGGATGACTGGAGTGCCAAGAGCCAAGAGAGCCAAGCTGGGCAGGTGAGCTGGCTGAGGCCACAGGCTGTTGGTGGTCGGGATCTGGCCCTTCTCATCAACAGGTGCCTTGCCCCTTTCCTTCCACAGGTCAGCCACCCGGACCGCAAGGCCCTAGAGTCAGACTGGAGCAGCTGGGAAGCCGAGGGCTCCTGGAATCAGGGCTGGCAAGAGCCCAGTTCCCCCGTGCCTCTCCCTGAAGGCACGAGACTGGCCAGCGAGTATAACTGGGGTGGCAATGAGTCCAACAAGGGTGACCCCTTCGCTGCCCTGTCTGTGCGTCCTAGTGCCCAGGTACTGGTCCAGCATGGGTACAGTTGGGTAGAGTCAGTGAGGAGCTGGCCACCATCACAGTCTGCACTTCCCTTTGCAGCCCAGGCCAGACCCAGACTCATGGGGTGAGGACAACTGGGAGGGCCTGGAAACTGAGAGCCGTAAGTAATTCCCCCGGAAGTAGACGAGGGTTCTGGGTCACCGACCGCAAGCAGGTCTTTGGGTGGGAAACTGAAAGCCAGTCCTTCCCATCCTCAGGACAGGCGAAGGCTGAGCTGGCCAGGAAAAAGCGGGAGGAGCGGCGGCGAGAGATGGAAGCCAAACGTGCAGAGAAGAAGGCGGCCAAGGGCCCCATGAAGCTGGGAGCCCGGAAGTTGGACTGAACCCTCCTGGGCCTTCCAGCCATGGAGGGGAGGCCCTGCGGATGTATTTATTGTACAAACCATGTGAGCCTGGCTGGCCTGGCCTGGCACATCTCATGTGTACATAATCAGAGCCACAATAAATTCTATTTCACACCCCTGGCCCAGGTTCAGTTAGCCCCAGCCAGACTGCTGATGTGAACAGCCAGTTTGCTGTGAAAGCAGAGTACAGGAACTGTCCTCTCGAGGAAGGGTGTGACAAGTGCCCTGGAGACCCAACAGCTCATGGCCTGGGCGGCCTGCTCTGAGCACCTCTGGTGTTAGGGTGCAGGAAGAGGTCTGTGGGCCCCAGAAGGTCCCGGGGTCTGTGTCTCAAGTTTAGACCAGAGCAAGACACCAAGCTCTCTCTCCCCACCCATTGTCAGTCTCGGAGGTGAGGCCGAAGCGGGCGTCAGCGGCGGCGCTGGGGCACACAGGTCCCGTGCGGGCGGCTGCGCACGTAGCCAGCTTTGCAGACGCAGCGGAAGGAACCGCTGGTGTTCACGCAGCGCTCGCTCTTGCACAGAAGCCCACGCTGGTTCAGCTCTCGGCACTCGTCAATGTCTGCAGGTGGCAATGGCAGGTGTGAACTTGGCATGGCGTCTGGTCCCAGCCCAGCTGCCGGCCCCGCCCCTGGTGCCCCACTCACCCACACAGCGGGCGCGGGACGCGTCCAGCTGGAAGCCGCCCGGACACTCGCACACGGCGCCGCCGGGCCGAGGCACGCAGCGCCCGCTCACGCAGCGGCACTCGTCCGAGTCCTCCTCCGAGCTGTCCTCATCTGTCAGGCGGGAAGAGTAACAGATCACCATCACCCCCAGCCCGCCGCCTCGCACGCCCTGCCCCCGCCTCACCTCTCGGCGGCTTCTCCAGAAGCAGGGGGCTCGTGTCCCAGAAAGAATTGCTCTCGCTCTGCGACGGGCACTGGGCCTGGGACGCTGGAATTGGGGGCAGAGGGTTCATGGGTGTACCCCACCCCTTCGACCGCGCTGCGCTCCCCTCGCCCCGCGGCCGGCTCACCCGCGCTTCGCGGTGGGCACGGACGGCACTGGGTGCCCCAGCCCCGGCCCTGGCGACAGCAGCAGTCGTCGAAGGTGAGGGCAGGCCCCGCGAGCGGCCCCACGCACATGCCGTCCTCGCCGCGCTGGCTCCAGCACACTTCGCGCCGCTCCGGACCGTGCTCTGCGTGGGACCCAAGGTCAAGGAGGAGCCGGAGGCCGCCGACGGACGGACGGGGGACGCGGCCGGTT